GAAAAAAATCATGTGGTTCCTTTAACCCAACCTCTTTTTTGCTGCCAGACCCTGAATGTTTTTTGTCCATATTTGGGAAAACGTCAGAGCATAGAGCATAGCGCCACCAACGAGTTGCGTATTAGTTCACATGAGAGCATTGCGCCACCACAGGGTTGTGTATATTACTTTGTTTCAAATTAATTTATTTTTTATTTTTCAGTATGATATTCGACAAAAAGCGTTGAAACTAACTGCCAACAGTATGTATGGTTGCCTTGGTTTTTCACACTCTAGATTCTATGCTAAACCATTGGCTGCTTTGGTCACCAGCAAAGGCAGAGAGGTAAATATTAATTTGTTACTACCCTGTAATATCACATCACATAATCATTATCAGCCATTCATAGTTAGGCAGAATTGTCGGCCAGTTCCAGTTCAGTAGCATTGTCAGTCATTTGTAGTTAGGCAGAGTGGTCGACTGTTTATAATTAGGCAGAGCTGTCAACCATTCAGTTAGGTGGAATTGTTAGCTGGTTCAAGTTAACCTTTTCATCATCAGTTCTCTTTTCATCACAAATTCAAAAAATAGTCAGTTTGTAGGCGAAATTGTTAGCTGGTTCTAGTTATGGTACCGCAGTTGCAGTTGCAGAATAGACAGTCATTGCAGTTAGGCAGAGTTGTCAGCTCTTTGTAGTTAGGCAGAGTTGTCACCCAATTTACCATACTTATCCGGGTAAGAGCTCATGCCTGAGCAAACGCCCACCCCCTACTTTTGACACAATAAAGAAGTTGAGGTCATATCCAGGCACGCGCCTTTTCTTTTCTACAGAAAAAATATAAAAAAAAACTATTTTCTATTCGTTGACTACGGTTGTGTTAACAGTTGACTTTCTTGAAGTCTGGCGTGATGCTTATAAAAATTCTTTAAATATAATTGTTAATTGCCTAAAACAAGTGGGGAACGCGAAATAGCTGTGACAGATTTTTGCTTTCAGGGTAACGCTTCACCGCTGATTTTTTTCAGAATCATAACAGTCAGCAAGTCTATAAAAATATATATTAAAGCAGAAACGGTAGTTCTCTTTTTAGCTCCGCTGTCGACTTTGTCGAGCGGAGCTTATCATATGATACTTTTTCGACTTCTTCTTGAAAAATACAAGCCTGAATGCTTTGATACTTGGTGTGTATGTACCTGGGGTAGACCTCTCTTAGATTTGTTTATTTCATGATGATATCTTCAATTCTCTAATTTTGGTGAATATTTTTGTAATTTTTAGTAAAAAGTGATATTTTCGACTTCTTGTTTAAAACCACAAGTCCGATTGCTTTGATATTACATATATAGGTACTACATGTGGACCTCTCTCAGATTTGTTCATTTTGTGATGATATCTTCAATTATCTAATTTTGATGAATATTTATGTCATTTTTGGTAAAAAGTGATATTTTCGACTTCTTGTTAAAAACCAAAAGTCCAATTGCTTTGATATTACATATATAGGTACTACATGTGGACCTTTCTCAAATTTGTTCATTTTGTGATGATATCCTCAATTCTCTAATTTTGGTGAATATTTTTGTTATTTTTGGTAAAAAGTGATATTTTTGACTTCATGTTTAAAACCACAAGTCTGATTGCTTTGATATTACATATATAGGTACTACATGTGGACCTCTCTCAGATTTGTTCATTTTGTGATGATATCTTCAATTATCTAATTTTGATGAATATTTATGTCATTTTTGGTAAAAAGTGATATTTTTGAATTATTGTTGAAAACAGCAAGTCCAATTGCTATACATACTTATACATATTGTTCATTTTCTAATGATATCTTCAGTTCTTTAATTGAAATGTGCATTGCTAACAGCAGAGCTATCTCAGCCGAGAGGCTGCTTGTTGAAATATGTCGTGGCCGGCCATTTGGTTTGTGCTTTCTTAGAACGATTCAAACAAATCGTATAAGGAGAGCCGCTAAGCAAGTGTCGCACTTGTTCGGCTTTAGCGTCGTCGACAATGAAACCAATGTTGCAATATTGTAGCAACCCGTACCTGGGAGAGTGGTTGAAATCACGTTATTTGGGCTTTATAAAATATTTGCTAGCAGCTTGCGAATCCATAACTGGGGCCAGCAATTTTGCAATGTCATGCCAAAGACTGCCAACTTTTTTACCATCTTTTATCACTGCTATTGCATTTCTGTCATGAAAACTATTCTTCTGTCGTTGGATAAAAAAGAAAAACTTCCTATTTCAAGTCCTCTGCGATATCCATATAGTGAGACATTCCAACCGCCAGAACTTGCTGAATGATAACTTTCACTGTGATTGATAAGCGTCGAGTCTGATAAGAAAGCAATTAATGGTCACGATTTGACCTTTATGATGAAATACTAGTAGTGATGTCATTCTTAGCCAATCAGTAAAGCAGATGCATAATGGTCAAAGATGATTGCCAGACTGTAAACAAAAGCATCGTGTGCCATCGCAGCAGAGCGACCCCATTTTTCTTGTCTCTTTATTGTGATTAGACATGAATGAATAGTGTCAAGCTGACAAACTGCGAAATCCGTGGATTAAAAGTACAAAATGTGTAGGACGATATCGACGTACTTCAGGAAGTAGTTGTGGGGATTTTGTTCGACGGCTACAGTGACGTTGTCTTGGACTTTGAGGGTTTTGAGTTTGAAGAAAATGGCAATGAACGTACAAATATTAAAAGATCTGAGAAGTTTTTTCAAACAGCTATGAATTTTTATAATTTTCAATGTGTAAATTTGTAAATTATTATTGATCTTGTATGACAGTTGATTCGTAATTTGTTGCGACCGGAATTTTACGCAATTTAACCCCTGACATTTTAATTCATTTTGAGTCGCGCGTATTGGGCGTGTTTGTCGGTGAGAAAATCCTAATTCAAATGATTCCTCACTGTCGATTTTTTATTATTTTTGGTTTATTTCTCACAGTATAAGCAATACATTAATTTTGTTTTACTTCTAGTGTTGCATATTGTTCATTTATTTCCGTTGCATGTTTTCATTTGCCGTTCTATTCCCTGCCGCAGTTTGATCTGCGTGTTGAAAATTTTCGTGATTTTTTGCCGGGGATCTCCTGGCAAACGCCCACCCCTTTTTTTTGGCAATTTTCCATGTTCAGGACCCTGGGCTTATACCCGGATAAATACGGTATGGTACCACAGTTGTAGTTAGGTAGAATAGACACTCGTTCCAGTTAGGCAGAGTTGTCAACCATTTGTAGTTCGGTAGAGTAGTCAGCCATTCATCTCTCAGTAGCATTGTCAGTCATTTGTAGTTAGGCTGAGTGGTTGAGTGTTTGTAATTAGGCAGTACTGTCAACCATTCAGTTAGGCAGAATTGTCAGATGGTTCTCGTTAAGGTACCA